CATGCTGAGGCTTCCGGGAGAAGCTTTGAGACACGGCCACGGATGGCGATTGAGGAGCTCATTGCCAGCATCACGAGCGTCAGCCGCCCCTCCTGCGTCCACTCACCGCGATTCCACAGCCGGCATCATGAGCATCAGCCGCCTCTCCTGCGGCCACTGGTGGCGATTGAGGGGCTCATTGCCAGCATCACGAGCATCAGCCGCCCCTGCTGCGTCCACTGACCGCGATTCCACAGCCGGAATAATGAGCATCAGCCGCCTCTCCTGCGGCCACGGGTGGCGATTGAGGGGCTCATTGCCAGCATCACGAGCGTCAGCCGCCCCTGCTGCGTCCACTCACCGCGATTCCACAGCCGGCATCATGAGCATCAGCCGCCTCTCCTGCGGCAAGGGGTGGCAATTGAGGAGCTCATGGGCAGCATCACGAGCGTCAGCCGCCCCTGCTGCATCCACTCACCGCGATTCCACAGCCGGCATCATGAGCATCAGCCGCCTCTCCTGCGGCCACGGATGGCGATTGCGGAGATCATTGCCAGCATCACGAGAGTCAGCCGCCCCTCCTGCGTCCACTCACCGCGATTCCACAGCCGGCATCATGAGCATCAGCCGCCTCTCCTGCGGCCACGGGTGGTGATTGAGGAGCTCATTGCCAGCATCACGAGCGTCAGCCGCCCCTGCTGCGTCCACTCACCGCGATTCCACAGCCGACATCATGAGCATCAGCCGCCTCTCTTGCGCCCACGGGTGGCGATTGAGGAGCTCATTGCCAGCATCACGAGCGTCAGCCGCCCCTGCTGCGTCCACTCACCGCGATTCCACAGCCGGCATCATGAGCATCAGCCGCCTCTCCTGCGGCCACGGATGGCGATTGCGGAGATCATTGCCAGCATCACGAGCGTCAGCCGCCCCTCCTGCGTCCACTCACCGCGATTCCACAGCCGGCACCATGAGCATCAGCCGCCTCTCCTGCGGCCACGGGTGGTGGTTGAGGAGCTCATTGCCAGCATCACGAGCGTCAGCCGCCCCTGCTGCGTCCACTCACCGCGATTCCACAGCCGGCATCATGAGCATCAGCCGCCTCTCCTGCGCCCACGGGTGGCGATTGAGGAGCTCATTGCCAGCATCACGAGCGTCAGCCGCCCCTGCTGCGTCCACTCACCGCGATTCCACAGCCAGCATCATGAGCATCATAGCGATTGAGGAGCTCATTGCCAGCATCACGAGCGTCAGCCGCCCCTGCTGCGTCCACTCACCACGATTCCACAGCCGGCATCATGAGCATCAGCCGCCTCTCCTGCGGCCACGGGTGGCGATTGAGGGGCTCATTGCCAGCAGCACGAGCGTCAGCCGCCCCTGCTGCGTCCACCCACCGCGATTCCACAGCCGCCATCCTGAGCATCAGCCGCCTCTCCTGCGGCCACGGGTGGCGATCGAGGAGCTCATTGCCAGCATCACGAGCGTCAGCCGCCCCTGCTGCGTCCACTCACCGCGATTCCGCAGCCGGCATCATGAGCATCAGCCGCCTCTCCTGCGGCCACGGGTGGCGATTGAGGGGCTCATTGCCAGCATCACGAGCGTCAGCCGCCCCTGCTGCGTCCATTCACCGCGATTCCAAAGCCGGCATCATGAGCATCAGCCGCCTCTTCCACGGCCACGGGCGGCGATTGAGGGGCTCATTGCCAGCATCACGAGCGTCAGCCGCCCATGCTGCGTCCGCTCACCGCGATTCCACAGCCGGCATCATGAGCATCAGCCGCCTGGGTGGCGATTGAGGGGCTCATTGCCAGCATCACGAGCGTCAGCCGCCCCTGCTGCGTCCACTCACCGCGATTCCACAGCCAGCATCATCAGCATCAGCCGCCTCTCCTGCGGCCACGGGTGGCGATTGAGGCGCTCATAGCCAGCATCACGAGCGTCAGCCGCCCCTGCTGCGTCCACTCACCGCGATTCCACAGCCAGCATCATCAGCATCAGCCTCCTCTCCTGCGGCCACGGGTGGCGATTGAGGGGCTCATTGCCAGCATCACGAGTGTCAGCCGCCCCTGCTGCATCCACTCACCGCGATTCCACAGCCGGCATCATGAGCATCAGCCGCCTCTCCTGCGGCCACGGGTGGCGATTGAGGGGCTCATTGCCAGCATCACGAGCGTCAGCCGCCCCTGCTGCGTCCACTCACCGCGATTCCACAGCCGGCATCATGAGCATCAGCCGCCTCTCCTGCGGCCAGGGGTGGCAATTGAGGAGCTCATTGGCAGCATCACGAGCGTCAGCCGCCCCTGCTGCGTCCACTCACCGCGATTCCACAGCCAGCATCATGAGCATCAGCCGCCTCTCCTGCGGCCACGGGTGGTGATTGAGGGGCTCATTGCCAGCATCACGAGCGTCAGCCGCCCCTGCTGCGTCCACTCACCGCGATTCCACAGCCGGTATCATGAGCATCAGCCGCCTCTCCTGCGGCCACGGGTGGCGATTGAGGGGCTCATTGCCAGCATCACGAGCGTCAGCCGCCCCTTCGATTCCACAGCCGGCATCATGAGCATCGAGAGGCGGCCACGGGTGGCGATTGAGGGCTCATTGCCAGCATCACGAGCGTCAGCCGCCCGTGCTGCGGGTGGCGATTGAGGGGCTCATTGCCAGGATCACGAGCGTCAGCCGCCCCTGCTGCGTCCACTCACTTCGATTCCACAGCCGGCATCATGCGGCCGCGGGTGGCGATTGAGGGGCTCATTGCCAGCATCACGAGCGTCAGCCGCCCCTGCTTCGTCCACTCACCGCGATTCCACAGCCGGCATCATGAGCATCAGCCGCCTCTCCTGCGGCCACGGGTGGCGATTGAGGGGCTCATTGCCAGCATCACGAGCGTCAGCCGCCCCTCCTGCGTCCACTCAAAGCGGTTCCACAGCCGGCATCATGAGCATCAGCCGCCTCTCCTGCGGCCACGGGTGGCGATTGAGGGGCTCTTTGCCAGCATCACGAGCGTCAGCCGCCGCTTTTGTGTCAACTCACCGCGATTCCACAGCCGGCATCATGAGCATCAGCTGCCTCTCCTGAGGCCACGGGTGGCGATTGAGGGGCTCGTTGCCAGCATCACGAGCGTCAGCCGCCCCTCCTGCGTCAACTCACTGCGATTCCACAGCCGGCATCATGAGCATCAGCCGCCTCTCCTGCGGCCACGGGTGGCGATTGAGGGGCTCATTGCCAGCATCACGAGCTTCAGCCGCCCCTCCTGCGTCAACTCACCGCGATTCCACAGCCGGCATCATGAGCATCAGCCGCCTCTCCTGCGGCCACGGGTGGCGATTGAGGGGCTCATTGCCAACATCACGAGCGTCAGCCGCCCCTGCTGTGTCCACTCACCGCGATTCCACAGCAGGCATCATGAGCATCAGCCGCCTCTCCTGCGGCCACGGGTGGCGATTGAGGGGCTCATTGCCAGCATCACGAGTGCCAGCCGCCCCTGCCGCGTCCACTCACCGCGATTCCACAGCCGCCATCATGAGCATCAGCCGCCTCTCCTGCGGCCACGGGCGGCGATTGAGGGCTCATTGCCAGCATCACGAGCGTCAGCCGCCCCTCCTGCATCCACTTACCGCGATTCCACAGCTCCACTGACCGCCATTCCACAGCCTGCAGGTCAGCATCATGAGCATCAGCCGCCTCCCCTGCGGCCACAGGTTGTGATTCCAGGGGCTTACTGCCAGCATCACGAACGTCAGCCGCCCCTCCTGCCACTCACCGCGATTCCACAGCCAGCATCATCAGCATCAGCCTCCTCTCCTGTGACTACGGATTGCGATTCCAGGGCTCATTGCCAGCATCACGAACCCACTCACCGCGCTTTCACAGCCTGCAGGCCAGCATCATCCGCATCAGCCGTCACGCCTGCAGTCACTGGTGGCGACTCCACGGCTTCATTG